GGCTGTTTAAGCCACAGTGGACCCTCCCACCATCTGTATCTGAGCCAAAACTCCAGCGGAACATCCTCTGGATGGGAGATCAGCCTGGATTATCGCTTCCTGGGATATGCTTCCCTTGTTCCTCTGATGTTAAATTTCTTATCTCCTTCACTCGATTATTTACAAATGTTCCCCATTTGTCTTCATGCTTGATCCAGAACATAACGGTAGAGGGAGTCAGTCCAACAGGTACTTGATATTCCACTTCAAATCCATCGCTTCTTTCACTGTTGCAGTTCTTTCACTAAGACGAGCTCCGATGAAGCATGCTAGCAATTCTAATCGAGGCATCGTTATCTTTGTTAAAGGAGCCACTGTACTTTTAGCTTCAATCAAATGAACTTTTACCCCTTTCTCACACTCGCTTCATAGAAATACGATTGCGCCTATAGGTGGACTTGCTCGCATCACAAAATTATAAAAACTCAATTTTTCTTCCGGAACATTGCTTTGGATATATCTTGGAATTCTGATCTCTGTCAACAGATGTAAATCTTCAAGTCATTTATTTAACTCCAGGCAAATATCTTCTAAACAAGTTTCATCCCAAACAATCTTCAGGTACAAGCTATTCTGTATTAACAGTTCCAAAGGAATCGTTACTGGACACAGAATTCCTGTAGGATCGAAGATGTTGTGAACTGTCGAAAGAAAATATCTTCTAAAAATGGATTTTTGCTTGAAATCAATTTTTTCATGATCACAAAACAGGACATCTTTAGTTTTATCCCATAATAATCCAAGAGCAGGGGCAAGTTTTTTTTTGACATTCTTCACCTGTTAGACACCTGTTGTTCACTTGGTGGAATGTTCCCAACCTCGAAACAACATGTAGCCAGAATCTGTTTTGCTACAAAAATGAATTTCTTAAGTTCATCTTGACTAGTTACTGAAGTTATGGAGTTATCCACATAGAATGCATCCTCAGCTTTTCTAACGGTTTCAGGAAAATGGCTTTCATTTTGTCCCCAATGGTAATCTAGAACGGCAGCTAACAAGAAAGGGCTGCTCGTAAGTCCAAACACTACTCGTTAGGTGACGATAAATTTTTTGTTTTCTTTCCTTATAATCTTCCCACCATATGAATCTAAGAAAATCTTGGTCTTCTTTGGCCACAGATATCTGAAAAAAAAAGGGGGGGGGCTTTTGTATATCTGAAACTACACCAATTTTTTTCTGATGAAATCTCGTAAGTAATGGAGGAATTTTTTCGATAAGATTTGGCCCTGTTTCTACACAGTCGTTGAGCGAACATGAGTTCTTACTTCTACACGAAGTATCAAATATAGGGCGTACCTTCATAGTAGAATTTCCTTTAAAGATACCTCTATGAGACAAATAATGACAAGGATTTCCCAAATCACTATCTGCTACTTCTTCGATGATAGTTTCCTGCAACCATTTCTTAAATACAGCTTCATAGTCATCGTATTTTCCTTCTTTAAGAAGTTTCTGAGTAGTAGTTATGCATTTTTTTCAGCTATATCTTTGTTTTCACTTAACATCTCATACGTCTCTAACCTAGTTTGGTGAAGTAATGGCCATTTTCATCTCTCTGGACGGTTTTTCGAAAATGCTGAAGAATGGGCTCTTCCGTTTCTTCTTTAGTTCTCGTTTCAGTAGGATCCTTTATACCTATAGTATCTAATTTAAACAAATCAGCTACAGAAGAATTTTTAATCAGTAAAGATATCACTAAGTGGGATAAAGTTTCGTCAAACCTTTCTTTGGACATGTTTCCCATGATAAACCATCCTAAGTAAGTTTCACATGCAATCAAATTGGATTTCAATGTACATATTCTTAAGTATATTACCACAATGATTCTGCACCTATTAGCAGATCAATATCAGGACAACCTTCTCCATAGTCAGTGAGCCAAATTTTATTTTCTCTTAATTTTTCCTTATAAAGGTCTCTTCTCAACCGAGGAATGATGCCACAATTGATCAGCTGCTCCAAAACCTTTATGTTACAGGAGAAGTCCCCTTTCAAAGACATCAGGTTAACGTCATAAGCATAATGCTCCCTTTTCTCAGTTGTAATTCCCTCTAATAGAGAGTGAATTAAGATTCTCTTTTCTGTAGGCTTAAAACCTAGTTCCTTAGCTGTTTCTTTAAGAATGTAAGAATGTTATGAGCTAGTGTCAATAAGTACACGTACTTGTAGCTTTTTCCCTTTTGTCTTCAGTTTCACTTGTAATGTTTGAAGCGATATTTCATCAGAAGTGCATACGTTAGACAAACTAACATCAAACGACAACGTCTTCTCAAGTTCCTGTATCTCACTTTCATCTTATTTCCAGGGTGTTCTGGGCACATCAAAATCGAATGTTTCTTACTGCAAAGAACACATTTGATGTAGGACTTGCAAAATTTAGAACGATGTCCAATTTTTAAACAGATAAAACAGGCCATTTTGTTTTTTCAAATTTCTTGTTTTTATCGAAATTTGAGTTTACGTGCAGAGAAGCTTTCTTTACTTTCGTGCAATTTGCCACAAAATATACAAAAAATTTTTTCTTTTATTCTCTGTTCTTCCCGCAAGCAAATCTGCTGCTGTCAGTGGATTCCTATGAACAGAACGCTGTATTTTTTCCTTCTGAAATTTGTGCTCTTTACTAACAAACCCCTTTGCTAAACGAATACGTTCTTCCCCTTCAACTTCAGCTTTCGGAACAATAATAAAATTCTTAATTCTCGCCATAAGCATTTTCTTCAGAAGAATCGAATTTGATTAATTAAAGGGTTTTTAACCAAACTCTAAAAATGTCTTCGGGAATACACTTTCTACAAGAGGGAAAATTAGTGAATATGTATTGGATGTCAACCCTATGGACTTCAACGCTCTTAGATGTGATTCTATTTATCTCTATTCAACGGTCTAATTTTCTTTTCTTTGGTAAATTTACTAAGATTTAAATGTTCGCGTGTATAAAATTCAATTAGTAATTCCTCCCTGCCGAATCTCAGATTTTAAACATGCAATAGCTTTATGATACAGCCAAATTCGTTAATTCGGACACCCATAATCCGGACCTCAAAGCTAAAAACTTTCTGCGCATGCGCCGCGTTGACACATGCGCATAGGCGTTTATGCGTGCGCGTAAGACATTTACGACTGGGTATATGCGTGTGCGCAAGCGCAGAATACGTTTTTGCGTGCGCATTTAATGTATAATGGACGGTATAAGCTAAAATTATCTAATTATCTATTTCAGTTAATGTGATGATTGCGTTGTTCCTTTATCCTTGAATGGATCCGGCTTATTATTTTTGCGGACTGAAGAGCAATGTTATAAAAGTAACTTGAACTTTCGTTATGTCAAATAGAATTTTCGATGCTAGAGCTCCCAAGGATCTACAAAACGAAAGTATGTTCGATGTCGTCAACAAAAAGTGGAAATTGCTGAAAAATGGAAAAAGACTGAAGAGGTGACAGAGAGGTTAGTAAAACGAAAAATTTCGATTGATAAGTTAGGCGGTATTCTCGACACAGCAATTACGGACTTGAAAAGCGGAACTTGTACTGACAAGAATTATTTCTTTTATAGAATTAAGAGAAAGTATCACATAACGAAGCACTAAACAACTTACATTGAAAGAAATATTAATAAGTAAACAAATCAATATAAGCTTTTTTTTTTTTTTTTGTAAATTTTCATACCCTTTAGATCATAATTGTTCTTTATTTCATAAATTACGGTTTCATATTTTTAATTTTAGAATTTCCGCATGCCATCTTGCGAGATTTAAACTGATGATCTATAATCCAAAAAAATCGATAATCCGGAATCGCCGAAGTCCCGACGAGTCCGGATTAACGACTTTTGACTGTATTTTTCACATGTTGGTGGTTAACTATCGACATTATCATGAGCTCTAGAGCCTTGATACATTGAATTAATTATTGAAATTTAACTTCTCTCGCAATATTTTCATCGTCATGTATTCTTTTGAATGGGCTCCAAAAGGCAAGCCAATATTTGATTTCCCCATCAAATTTCAAAAGTTTGATTTCCGGTAACTTTAACCTTTGTTTTTAAACGGGCGAAGAATCAACAGAACTTTTGGTTTTAGAAATTCTATTTAAATACATTTGTGCGTGTACTTCCGCCTTTACTAAATTTTCATTATATTCTTCTATTATCGCGTACTCGTTCTGATACTTTTTATCGTCTATATCGTCTAATAATAAAGGGCTCATTTCCTGATCTATTTCAGTTAGCTGACAATAAATTCTACGTAAATTAGCAACGTTAGATCAAATGCTCTTTTGTTTAACATTATGTGCCTTTAATAAGTCACTCAAACCATTAAAACACTTCTTAAAGTTAGCTCTTATTGGAGAGCGTTTTTTAAAGGAATTTCCATTTTCAATACGATAATTCAAAATAACGTACCTTTAATATCACGCCCGGGTCACCATTGCGAGACTCCCTGAATTTTGTTCATCAGTCGGTGATCCATTAAAAGAAATGTAAAGAGAGATTTATAATTAAGTAATATGGGCAATCCACCCAATTAATTCACTATAAAACAGGCAATCCACCTTAATGCAAAATCATGGTGCATTTTGCTTTTTTTTATTCTAAAACATAAAAATGATACAATGTTGCCAAACTGTAAAATTGTAAAATTTTATTTTTTTAGAAATTACATTTATACAACCTTTGAGTTTCTCGCGACAGTATCCTTTCCTGAAAAATCATACTTAGATTTTTTGTAAATGTTTTATTTCTGTACTTAAATTATAGGTGAATACATTTTGTGTTATTCTGTATTACATATTAATTTGATGATAAGAAGAGTAATTTTAATAGTATTTAATTTTAGTTAATATGAAAAATATTTTGTTTCTTTAAAGTATAAGTAAATTTTATACCATGCATATAATGTTATTTGGAATTAAAATGTATTCATTTTGAAAGGATTCATATTTTCAAACATTTCACTTTTCAGGTTGGATCACATAAAGTAAAACTGTCACGAGGTAGTGAAGCTTCTGCTCCATCATTTGACAGGTTAGTGATGAAGTGATAAACTACAGAAGTACTATTTAAGGTAACAAACACAGGTCCAACAAGAAAAATTAATCTGTAAATTTTTGAGAATTAGCTTATATTCTGCTTTATGTATTTTTTATTTTCTCTAGTACTGTTTCTTTCACAATGGTGTCATGAAAAAAATTGGATTTTATTTAGGCAAAATACATATGTATGGGTTCTCGGAGTTCTATCCCCGTTTTGATCAAAGGTGCAATGGAGATGGAAAAAGCATTTGTATTGCCACTAACTATGCCATGTGTTTATTTTAATACTGAGTGGAAATTTAAGAAAGGAAAAGGGAAAACAATTGTTTAATTCAAATTGTAATGAATATGGAAAATTCTAAGCTGAATGTTTTTAAGGAAAAGTTAAAGTATCAGTTGGCTGATTCATCAAGTCATATATACAACTGGAAATATACAAATTTGTATATGTGCTTTAAAAAAATGAGTGTTAGCAGGTATATTGAATATATGTGAAAAAAAAACAATTGAGCATATTCTCATCAGCCTTTAATAAAACGATGGAAATTACAAGTATATATGTAGCATTCTTATAGATTTTTGATGAACAAATCTAGTTAATTTTTTATCAGTTGTTTTTAAATTAATCTGTAACCTATATTAATTTGTAGCAATAGTGATCTTACTTTGACTAAATTCATTCCAAGCTCATCTGTAAATGTGGTTATTCACATGTTTATTAAATTGGGTATTTATGCAGGGAAATCTGTTTACTAAAGGGTAGTTCTTTCAACTTGGAATGCCAAGAATAGATACTTTAACACCAGATCTTGCCTTATCTTTTGATGGTCATCAAAGAGCTCAGCATGCATTCCAGTTATGCAACACAGTCAACCCAAATGAACACAGCTCATATTACAATTTTCTGCATAAACAGTAATGAACAAGGCCTACTCACAAATTAAATTTTTGCCTTAGATTGCCGAAATGGCCTCATTCTTCGAAATAATCCAATGGCTTTTAGCGTTACTAACCATTTGATTATACTTGGTTTAGATGGTGGCAGGGGATAATTTCCAGCATAATGAGGCTGATTTTGGTAGTTTATACAGGAAGTTTTATTGCTATTTTTTGAATGTGCATTGTAGCTAGAAATGGTGTCAAAAAGCAGGCTAAAGCAGATTTTTTTAACAGAGAATAATTTTATCAGATAGTGAAAATTATTCAGATATAGATATTTGTTTTAAATGTTTGGAAGTTGATTCATGTGAAGAAGCTTTTAGCAGTGTGAAAATGAAAGTACGAATTGTGTAGCATTTTTTGTTTACCACATACTCAAAAGTTTTTAGGTCATTAATTATATACATATTCATTGATTTTTTGTGTATTATGTTCCTTTTTGATTTGTAAATTAATTATCTAACATGGCTTGTTATACTAATTCAGAAGTCAAACAACAAAAATCAGCGTTATATTTAGAAAATTATCACAGGACTTTTGTTGTTTGACTTCTGAATTAGTATTTATTTGGCGTGTTATTGTGTCTCAATGGCTTGTTATGTTTTAAGAATTGACTATTAAAGCATTATTATACTGACAAACTGAAAACATGAAAATATCCTGGCAAACAAAGTATTATTTTTATTAAATCTAGATTTTTTTAATGTGATGTGACTCTTTATTATTTTCTTAAAAATCTGTACCAAATAGTAATTTTCTATAAAGATGCATGCATAATTTCCCTTTCAAAAAGGTCTCTATTTTTCTCACTCAAAGATAGTGACACTAAACAAAGCATTTAAGGAGAAAACAAGTGCCATTTGTTCCCACTGTGACTGGCAGATATCTCATGTATTTAGAAAGAAAGAAATGCTTAATCTTCCAACTACCAAAGGGTTAATACAAATTCATTCTATTTTTAGTATTTTATGTATAGCATTCAAAGTATCCCTGCTGTAATTATTTCAAAATGCACACTGAAGTGAAAAAAGTCATGGGATACCTCCTAATATTTTGTTGGTCCTCCTTTTGCCTGGCGAAGTGCAGCAACTCGATGTGGCATGTACTCAACAAGTCGTTGGAAGTCCCCTGCAGGAATATTGAGCCATGCTGCCTCTATAGACGTCCATAATTGTGAAAGTGTTGACGGTGCAGGTTTTGGGCACGAACTGACCTCTCGATGATGTCCCATAAATGTTCGATGGGATTCATGTCGGGCGATCTAGGTGGCCAGATCATTCACTGGAATTGTCCAGAATGTTCTTCTAACCAATTGCGAACAATTGTGACCCGGTGACATGGCGCATTGTCATCCATAAAGATCCCATCGTTGTTTGAGTACGTGAAGTCCATGAATGGCTGTAAGTGATCTCCAAGTAGCTGAAAGTATCCATTTCCAGTCAATGATTGGTTCAGTTACACCAGATGACCGAATCCATGCCATGTAAAAACAGCCCAGACCATTATGAAACCACCAGCGTACAGTGCCTTGTTGACAACTTGGGTCCATGGCTTCGTGGGGTCTGCGCCACACTCGAACCCTACCATCTCTCTTACCGACAGAAATTGTGACTCATCTGACCAAGCCACGGTTTTCCATTCGTTTAGGGACCAACCGATATGCTCACGAGCCCACGAGAGTCGCTGCAGGCGATGTCGTGCTGTCAGTAAAGGCACTCGAGGCGGTCTTCTGCTGGCGTAGCCAAAGGAAGACAAATTTCGCTGCACTGTCCTATCTTACACATCCCTCGTACATCCCACATTGATTTCTGCGGTTATTTGACGCAGTGTTGCTTGTCTGTGAAAATTGACAACTCTACGCAGACGTCGCTGGTCTCGGTCATTAAGTGCAGGTGGTCGGCCACTGCGCTGTCCATGGTGGGATGTTATGCCTGAAATTAGATACTCTCGGCACACTCTTGACACTGTGGATCTCGGAATGTTGAATTCCCTAACAATATCCGAAATGGAATGACCCATGCATCTAGCTCCAACTACCATTCAGCGTTCAAAGTCTGTTAATTCCCGTCGTGCGGCCATAATCATGTCAAACCCTCTTCACATGAATAACTTGAACACAAATAAAAGCCCTGCCAAAGCACTTCGCAATATACATTTTCTACGCGATACTACTGCCATCTGTATGTTTGCATATTGCTATCCCATGACTTTTGTCACTTCGGTGTAATATTGTTCTGAGAATATTCTTATTTAGGAATCTGTCGTTAGCCTAAATATGAAGTCTGAAGACCTTTAGTATGATAAAAGAAACTATAAATGACTAAGTTTTTAATGTGCTAGGTATTTGGATGTAAATTTATTTTTGACAGCTGTCTACATTTTCCATCCTTTCTACAGTGAACATTGACTTTATTATTATGAAATTAAATTATTGCTAGCCAGTTATTGTTGCTACTGCTATTTTGTAGGCCAAAGGTCACGCAACGCATTATTGAGTTGGTGGTCATAATGTTTTGACACTTCAGTGTATATTAAAATATAAATAAAAAATGCTTTGTCATATCAAATATTTAAATCACATTTAATGTGTTCTGCTGAAAACTGTAGAATTTCAGATATTGGAAAGTAGCAGCCTCCCTTGCGGAATTAATCCCAGCTACAGCCATGATCTTCTTGATTCTTTATGGAAATCTGCTGGGTTATCTATATTAGATTTTGGTTATGGAAATCTACCAAGTTATCTCTATTTGTGTTAGGGCAGTAAATCTGAAGGCTCTTTTTCAGATTCCCATCTGTATGAAAACATTTTGTATGTTTCAATATAGGCATGGCTATATTTATGCATATCAGAGGGGGCCAATTTCAGAATAAGATCTGTTTGATGATGTTTATTAGTGCACAAGTTTGACAATTTATATTTTTTGAATCTTTAGGATTGCATTCAGAAACATGGATTATTTCAAGTTAGTAGCAATATATATATCAAAATGTGTCTGTTTAATACTTTTGCACAGAGAACTAACTGTGATTAAGTGTAAGGTTAGATACATAAGAAATTAAAAGCTTTTAGTAACTTTTTTCTGTAAAATACTATGACCAATTACATTATCCTTTGTGATCTGCCATTCGGGGACCATTTTCAATAAGATAATGCTCTCCTTGATATGGCTGACATATCTTTGAAGTATCTGTCTGCTATTTCAACTTTTTGTTGGTCAGCTAGGTTCCCAGATCTTTCAAAAGTTAAACAGTATAGGACATGTATAGTGAAGTATAGGACATGCTAACCCATTAAGTACAGGTGCCACAGAATATCAAAGATCTGGGACAGTAAGTAAAGAAGACCTGGAAAAACTATTGCCGAATGGCATTATGAATTTGTGTCATTCCATACCTCGCCATATAGCAGCCAGAGGAGTGATTACAAATTACTGATTGTAACACTTAAGATGCTATTTCTAACCATTAAACTATCCTAGGATCTTGAAATTGTATTCATTTCATTATCTGTGTATGCATTGTACACAGGCTTAATTTTATTAAATTTAGACGCTTTCTTAGTGGTGCTTCTTAACCTGCCTCCAGAAAAGCACATGATTCAGTAGACTAGCCTGTCTGCCAAACACAGAAGCATGTGTGATCATGCCACCCAAAGTTTTTGCTTTCCCTTCACTACTCAAAAGTGTTGTCATCTTATGATCGCTTAGTTCTTCTGGAAAATAATAAGATAAGATATCATACACAAGCTATTTTACAATACTGTTGATTTTTGTCTTCCCTTGTGCAAATTATTTCTTCATTTTAACAGAAGATAATGCAGTGTGTAAAAGAACTCATAAAACTATTATTTTCTTGCTTTGTTCCAAATTAAATTTTGGCCTTAATTTCTTGAAAATAGGCTTGCTTTTTCTATACGATTTTAAATGTGTATTTGTTTTCTACAATTTTTTTTTTGAATGAATAAATTTTATTCTTTATTTTTCCCAGGCATTTGACACAAATTGTAAAGCGTTATGGTGATCAAGTACTAATAAACTTACTTGGTTCTAAGGAAGGAGAAGCAATGCTGAGTCAAATGTTTTATGTAAGTCTGCGCTTTATTGTTTAAGTATATATATATATATATATTCCAGCAAAGTCCAATACCAAAGCCTAAAAATGCACTGCAAGCTGCATTAATTGAGTGGTAATATTTATTAAATTCAGAATGTAAACAAAATTAATTAAAAATCGTACTCACCACTAGAATAATGAATTATTACAATTTCTTTTCAAATCCAAAATACTGTTGTAAAAATAACTAGTAAAAGAGATCTGTTCCAAAATCTCCAGACAAAACAATGCTGCTTCAAAATAAAATTCATATAAAAATTATCATGATAGAAAAAGCAAAGGAAGAAAAAAGAAATGAAATTGGGCTTTACGTCTACTGGTACCTCTTCATCATATGTATTTTAACTATTAAATTAAAAAATTAAATACACGACAACCTGTTTAAGTATTTTCTCTAACACTCATAAATCTACACGATCTGAGCTTTGTTCAAGGTGAACAGCCGCTCATAGACTTTAGTGTTTTTATTTTCACAAATATTCTTTTAGCCATAGACATAACCAAATTTGTTATAAACGATATTTCTAAAATGAGTTATAGAAATGAATGTTGTAAATGAATGTAATGAATATCTCATTATTTCTTTGAGTTTAATTTTTAACTATTAAATTCAAAATTAAATCCCTGACAGCCTAATTAAGTGTTTTCTCTAACACTCGTATATTTATGCAATCTGAGCTTTGTTCAAGGTCAGCAGCCCCTCACAGACTTTATCATTTTTATTTTCACAAATATTCTTTTAGCCATAGACATAACAAAATTTGTCATAAATGATATTTCTAAAAGGAGTAATAGATATGACTGTAGTATTTAAATGGAAATAAAAATAAGTTCCTGGGGAAAGATAATAGTATCTCATTAATTCTTTGAGTTGATCGATTTAATAGCAGGTCTGCACTTTATGTTGCCAGCATTTACGGGCTCATATTGCTCTATTTTCAATTAGAATAATTTTTTATGTCGATTTGCTGTCTCTAAAAGGAGGTATTTTGTCTTCTTGTTGGTTTGTATTCCTTACTTTTCTACAAGATTTGAGAATGTCGTGGCTTGTTTTTGAAGTACACGTAATATATTGTGCATTTAAATATTTGGGAAAAATAATAAACAAACCTAGATTTTCAAAATGGAAAAATAGCTAGGATTGACTACATGGAAAAGTCATGATTCACAGGTGATGGATCCAGGACAATCTAGTAGCACTAAGAATATTGAAAGGAAAAGAAAATTGTTGGTAGAAAATAATATGAAAGTTATTTACATTTGGGTTTACTTGGAATGGAATGAGTTGTTTGGGGTGAATTATTATCCGATCAAAGTATGAAACCATCGTTTCTTAAAAGACTTCTTGAATCAAAGCATGCTAATTCAAAGAATAAATCTGAAGGATATTTTGAAAGCAAATTATCGTAGTAAGCCTAAGAATTGCCAAGATTGGGCAGGCTCACACTATTGGATAAAACCTTATGTTATATCGCTTTAGCATTATTCAAAGAAAAAGCTGTTAATGAACTTAATAATATTCCGATATCAAATGATACGGTAAATCAATGAATTCATGAAATGGCAAATTCCATAAAAGAGACACTTTTTCAAAAAATAAAACACAGTCAGTATTTTGCACTGCAGATGGATGAAAGTACAGACATAACGAACTTTGTTCGATTATTAGTCTACATAAGTTTCAAAGAAGATAAACAAATTGCCAAAAAGTATGTATTTCTGAATCTCTTCAAAATAGAGCAACTGCAAATGAAATTTTCAAAGTAATTCACAATTTTATGTCTGTGAATCATATTCCTTGGAATAAGTGCATTGCCATATATAGTGACGGAGTGTGGGCTTTAACAGGAAAATATTCTTGCGTTATTTCTCAAATAAAGAAAGTCGCACCTGAAATTAAATTTACTCACTGCTCCATTCATCATGAAGCTTTAGTAGCCAAGCAATCCCCGAAAACCTAAAAATCGTTTTGAATCAAGCTGTGGATATTGTTAATTTTATTAAAAGCCGATCTTCAAAATAAAACACATTTACAATTTTATGCCAAGAGTTGAGCAATGAACATGGAACGCTTTTGTTATACAGTCAAAAGTCGTTAATCGGACACCCATAATCCGGAATGATCTATAATCCGGACGTCAAAGCTAAACAATTTCTGCGCATGCGCCGCATTGACACATGCGCATAGGCATTTACGCGTGCGCGTAAAACCTTTACGACTGCACATATGCGTCTGCGCAAGCGCAGAATACTTTTTTGCGTGCGCGTTTAATGTATAACGGATGGTATAAGCTAAGATTATTTATTTCAGTTAATGTTGATGATTGCGTTGTTCCTTAATCTTCGAATTGGATGCGGCTTATTATTTTTTGCAGATTGTAAGAGCAATGTTATAAAAGTAAGCTTAAACTTTCGATTATGTCAAATAGAATTTTGGATGCTGGAGCTCCCAAAGGATCTACAAAACGAAACTATGTTTCGATGTCCATCAAACAAAAAGTGGAATTGCTGCAAAAAATGGATAAAGACATGAAGAAGGTGACAGAGAGGTTAGTGAAAATGAAAAAATTTCGATTGACAAGTTAGTCGGTATTCTCGGCACAGCAATTACAGGACTTGAACAGCGGAACTTCTGAACAAGAAATTATGTCTGTTTATAGAAGTAAAGAGAAAGTATTATCACATAAAACGAAACAACTTACATTGAAAGAAATGTTTAATAAAGTAAACAAATAAATATTAAGCTTTTTTTTTTTGTAAATTTTGATACCCTTTAGATCACAATTGTTCTTTATTTCATAAATTACGGTTTCATATTTTTAATTTTAGAATTTCTGCATGTCATCTTACCAGATTTAAACTGAGGATCTATAATCCGGAATTGCCGAAGTCCCAACGAGTCCGGATTAATGACTTTTGACTGTATTCTGGAGTAAGGTGATTAACCACAGCAAAGTTTAAAATTGTCTTTTTGAACTTCTATCAGAAATTCAAATTTTCCTCTATAATTCAAAATTTGAATTTAAAAATTGTTTACTTAGTGAATTATGGTTGGCGTGTTTAGTACATTTAGCTGATATTTTTGGAAAGTTAAATGGATTAAATTAGGATTTCAAGGACAAAGTGTTCATTTATTTATCATTAGAGATAAAGTAAATGCAATGATTTTAAAAAAAAAAAAAAACTCGAGCTAATAATCAAAGAATTGAATAATAATATTTTAAGCTTTTTACCACCTTTAGAAAGTTTTCTAACTGAAAATAATTTGAAAATAAAAGAATTAGCATCCAACATTAAAAATCGTTGTTTTTCATTGATAAATAATTTCACCATGTATTTTTCCAGGGATTATGGAAAACGAAATTGGATTAGAAATCCGTTTTCTTCAAATTAACCTGAAATTTTTAATCTCTTGAAGAAAAAGAACAATTGATAGAAATTTCCTGTGATCGAACTCTAACTGAAGGTTTCAAAAATAAACACACTTGTTAACTTTTGGCTGAACCAAAGAAAAGAATTTGAAAGCATTTCAAATAAAGCTATTAAATTTTTATTGCTTTTTTGCATAACCTTTTTGTGTGAACAAGAATTTTCTTCCATGTTGTACAGTACAAAGTCCGTAATCCGGACTCGTCAGGATTTCGGCGATTCCGGATTAGGGGTTTTTCTGGATTATAGATCATCAGTTTAAATCTGGTAAGATGGCATGAAATTATACAATTAGAAATATGAAACCGTAATTTATGAAATAAAAAGCAATTATGATCTAAAGAGTATCAAAATTTACAAAAAAATATCTTAATATTTATTTGTTTACTTAAGTAAACATTTCTATCAATGCAAGTTGTTTAAGTTGCTTCGTTTTTTGTGCTAATACTTTCTCTTTAATTCTATAAACAGTCATAATTTCTTGTTCAGTTACAAAGTTGCACTGTTCAAGTCCTATAATTGCTGTGTCGAGAATACCGACTAACTTGTCAAGCGAATTTTTTTTCGTTTTCAATAACGTTCTCTGTTACTTTCTTCACACTTCGTAAACGCTTTACTGGCTTTAAGCGCATGCGTAGTGGATGCGCGCATCAAACGCGCATGCGTGAGTTTGTGGCATTGAGGTCCGGATTATAGATCATTCCGCATAATAGACGTCCGAATTACGGACTTTGTACTGTATTTGAAAAATAAATACAGAATAAAATTAAAAGTGGATTCTAATTTATGCTTAAATTTAAGTGAAATAAGGTCAGACATAAAGAAACTGATCTCTCTTAAACAGGTCCAAATTTCACACTAAAATTTTGAATTAAATTATCTAAATTAATAAAAATTAAAAATTAATAAACAATATAATTTTTGGTAATTTAAATGGTAACCAATTTTTAATCTAATATGTTTTATGTGTGCATATTTAATACAAACAGCCAACAGGTTGTGCAAATGGCAAAACATACTTTTTTTAATATTTCTATAGAAAAATTAAAAAATTATCATTGTAAAATGTTCTGGTGATACTAAGGTTTTTCAGTTTTAGTTTAGATGGTACACATTAGTAAAAAATTTGAGAGCCGCTGATCTAGATGGAACAGAAGATGATTATTTATTTATGAATCGGAATAACAGTGATGGTGAAAATGAAACAGAATTTGATGATGTGCCTGAAGATATAGCAGAAGAAGAATATGGATAAATGAACTCTTTATGTTATCAGATTAGGACATTTTTTAAGTCCATAAGGAATGCCATTTCTTTTAAACAAACAGCATTTAGGTACATGTAGAAATATAATTTTTTCATGCTTATCTCTTCCTTATTTTTAAATTTATCATTTTTATATCCAACGCATAATGCATGCCTGTGAATTTTGACCTTAAGTTTTGTATTAAAAGTGCACGTTATACAGTGGAATGTACGGTATGTTAGCTTATTGAAATGTTCGATCAACTAAAATAAAAAGCAATATTAATTCGGCCACAT